ATGAGAAAGAAGAACATTACTCTAAATGTCACTAGAAAATGAAAATAAAAACTGTGTCTGCCAAGGATAATTGGGCAGAGCTATTCAGGGAACCTCTCACAAGGAGACAAGTGGGGCAGAGCCCAGTACATCTCATTATGACAATAACACCTTTCAGCTTTTCCAGACATCCCGTGAGAGCCAGGCAGATCAGGATAAAGCCACCAGACCGCCCGGCTGTGATAGCCGCTGGCTGCCTTGGGGGCGGCATTGCAGCACATCAGCAAGCCCCAGCCAGCTGGGTTTGCACCCAGATGCCGCCCAGATGACAGGATCATCAGTTCTGCAAAACAAAGTCGGCAGAGCCTGCCTCATTACCTTGTATATACACTTGTGTAAGTCGCTAAGAACTCCCTCCTCCTCCTCCTCGTCCTCCTTCGTGGTCTCCTTTTCCTGAGCGAAGAGCCGCCGCCTGCCTGTCTTCAGTGGGACGTCGACCTCTTTTAACTTGTTGCGGAAGCCATTTTTGTGAACCACGCCGTTGATGAGTCCGTTTTTGGGCTCAAACCGGGGCAAGGAATGGAACTTGTAGGCATTCTCCAAATGTCCCTCCAAAGGTCCTTTCCTCTTCTCCAAGATTTCCTTTTCCAGCAAGACCTCCTTCTCCAGTTTCTTGTGCTCCTCAGGGGAGAGGGAGTCGTAGGAGAGCAAGTACTGGCAGTAGGCTTCTTGTAGCTTGGCCAGCCTGTCCTGTGCAGTTTTGGGGATGCGTAGCATGTCTGCCAGCTTGTTCCATTTCTTGAGGTCAGTCACTTGCTGCATCCCCCCCATCTCGTTGATCAGCTGGACGAAGCAGGCCAGGTCGAGCTCACAGCCTCCTGGAGTCCCACGTGTGCCAGGCAGCAGAGGAGGGGAAAGGGAAACACAGGAGCAGGTTAGGAAAGCTGTGGGTGGCTCACGTCACGTGCACTACCAGGCTGGGCACATATGGGATGCACCACCCATACAGCTCTGGTCACCTAAGCACCGGAGCAGGACTGTCCCTATCTCATACACCTCCTGCTAAAGACAGGTGCGCACCGCTGTTTTGCTAGCTTGATTCATTCAGCAGATCCTATTTTCCTATTTGCAACAGCCTCCCCTATGGTTAAACTTGCTCTCCTCCTCGCGTTTCATTCCCTTCCCTTCTCAGAGCACCCCCAGCTATCTCCTGACACACATCCTTCCCCTGGTCATTACCCAGTGGTCAGGGAGACAAGAGCTGTGCAGCTCCTTAAAAGCCCGCACACTCCCACCCTCCCCTTGCTCGCCACCAGTCCCACACCTCTGGTTTATGCCAGGAAGAAGCAAAAGACATGTCAAGATGGGTACTGGCAGGCAAGAAGACAAGTACCTATCCTTTCTGGAGGTGAAACATTGATTATCTAATGTCTGCACAATACTTTGAATACAGTTAGTATTTAAAAGGAGCACAGTAACATCATTAAGTTCACTACAGGTAGAAAAATCCTTAAAAAACACCCACAGGAGGTGCGGGGTTGTTTGGGGTTGGTGCCTGCAGCTGCATAAAAAGTTCCACGCACATTATTCTTCCAGCTTGAGGCCATCCATATTTTATACTCCATTATGGTTTTGTATGTTTTAAGATGACTAGCACATTTCACACTCCAGTCAAAAAATAAAAATGGAGGATTATACAAACTGCAGCATAAAAGGCAGCCAAATGGACGAGGAACAATAAAAGAAACATCATAAATACTCTCAAAGCACAGAAATAAATCATCAGTAGAAAGAGTGAAGAAACAGACCAAAGACCACCTACAATTCAGCAGGGCACTGCTGAGAGAAAAAAGAGAATTAATTCAAAACTTGCATCAACATCGATGCTGCCACATTGTCTCTCCTTCCCCTCTTTCTTTGAAAAAAGAAAAAAAAATCATTATGCCACAGCCATTTCAGAGCACTTAGAAATGCTATTATACAACAGAGAAGTGCAAGAAGCAGAGTTATGGTAAATATTTACTGTTGGATACACAGCTACAGCATCTTAAGGGCCAGTTGTATCATCTCACTTGCTAGCAAAAGCTGTATCACTTTCTTAAACTACCCTGTGCTGCATCTCAGACACTTCATAGCTGATCCCAATTTTCCTTCTTTCCTCTGCTTTCCCCTTTTCCACCACCTGTGCCAATCCAGCGAGGAGGGAGGCTCAGCAGTGTAAACCTGCATACAACATTTTGGGATGACAAGGGTTGCAACCGAGGCAGAGCAGTGCCAGAGGTTTCTCACTAAAAAGCTGCCCGCACAACGCCGGGCAAAGGTGTGAAAAGGGGAAAGGATTTTGGCTGCAGCCAAAACCAAGGATATATCTTTGAGGAGTATAAGACAAGGGTGGAGGCATGGCCATGGGGCAGCAGATTTATCCAGTTTAGTAATTTATTTTTTTTTTCTTTTTTTTGGGGGGGATGGGAGGGGGTGGTGCAGGGCATGGTCAAAATGGTTAAGTCTAAGAAGCTAAGAAAAGGTAAACAGCATTGGGGGGAAAAAAACCCCAAGTTTTAAAGGTTTTCTTTCTTTCCTCTTTAATCTTCCCCACAAAATAACTTTCAAGCTGGCCTCTATTACAGGCTGTTACTTTTTTGGTCTAGTGTTTTATATGCATAGTTCACAAATAAGCTGAAGGCATAATTCAAGGTGGCTTTCCATCCCAATAGATTCAGTGACCTACATAAAGCTGAGTAACCTACTCCTAACTTTGAAAGAAGCGTGGTCCAGGTTTAACATTATACATGTTCTCCAGTGGGAAAAATAGCACACACCCAGCTTAAGGTTCTAGTTTCAACACTGTTCATGAGCTATTTAAGAGAGGCGATTTTCTCCCTCATCATGGAATGATCGCTCATAATCACTACGCAATATGAGAGCCCGAGCAGCACGCCATTCAACCGGAGCCTCGCGTATCTGGAAGTTCCTCCATAGGGCCAGCTACAGCTAAGGTTTACAAAATGGTCTCAACTGTAATTCCATTTCACACAGCCATAACTTTTGGAAGCATTTCTATCTCAGGCTGATGTTTTTCAGAATTGACCTAAGCACATTGCTTAAAAAAGAGGAGTTTTAACCCCATTTATAAGCACCTACAGCAAAATGGCTTAAATAGGAGACCTGGCACATGTTCTGCAGAAACGTGATTTGGCCCTAAAGAAGGGATATGCATGCATGCCTACTTAAATAAGTGCGCATTATCACCACAGATTATTTTATGTCTTTCCTACTGGAACCAACGGATTTCTCACATTTTTGTACACTGATGGTCTCCAGCTTCTTCTCTCCATTTTGTTTTTAATTTTAAGCACAAGATAGGTAGGAAATTAACTGCATAAAGGATACATAAGATGCAAATTTTGTAAGAGACCACTGTTTGATCCAGTTATATGGCACCCAGCAGAATAGAATCCTTGCCTATTAATTAGGCTCTTAGGTGCTTAAATAATACAAATAATTAACAGTAATGCCATCTTAATGCTGAGTTAAGGTATTTCATTAAAAAGTTAACATTGTTCCAGGAGCGCCTAATCGAGCTGTCTTGCACATTTTCTTCTCTCTCTTGCCAATGTAAATTTAATTCATTATTCTTCTCTATTAGCATACAACCACTGCATACATTAGGCATACAAAATGTTCACTTATTGCTGCTTGAGTGATTTTAATTTTCAGATTTCCTTGAACGTTTTTGCATGACTATTGCAACAGAGCGCTAACCCTCGTTCCTCCTCCTTAAATTGTCGTCTCTCTGTTGTGCCCTGCATTGGTTCACCATAAACTCTGCGATCTCTTTGTGTGCTTTTATGCATTTTCACACACTTACCATATGTGATATAAAATAAAGTTTGAAAACAGGGCAGGGGGAAGGGGGAAGAGTGTTCTGAATGGTTTAAACAGGAAAGTGTGTCCTTTAATCCAACTAGCGTTGATAGCTACCACTAGCCGGGTAACGCCTCAGAGGCAAAACTCAAGGTCCTACATGCAGGCCCTGTGAGCTCTGACTCAAAACACTTCAAAAGCAAAGGGAAAGGGTAACAACATTTAAAAACACAAGTTTGTTACTACGTCATGGCTGCAAAGGCAGTAGAGATGGAGGTGGCTCATTCAATAGTTCATTTGTATGCTGCTGTTGTAATGTTTTTACAAACTATTGTCACATTTTTGTCACGTGTCATATTTGACAGCAGACCATAAACCAAGAATTCTGTTAAATAAGTGATTCTCACTCAGGCATTAGCCCTGGCAGACACCTGCTGGGAGAAATAATGAAACCTCCATTTTGCAATCAACCACATTTTACTGCCTATTCTTGACACTTAATGGTTGTTAAATGTCAGCAGGTCACTGCAAATTTGTAATTTTAAGTGTCTGGGTACCCAAATAGAAGTCAGTTCCGAGATATTTTCTTTCCCCCTTGGTTAAATGCTTTTAAAGGGGGGGGAGGATATTTGTATTAAAGCTTGGCAGGATTGCAGCTTGTTTGGAAAAACATCTTTGGAAAGGCCCAAAAAAATAATTCTGAGGCAACATTTAAACCGAGGCTATCAATATCCATAGTTGTACTACCTACAAAAATAAACAGCAGGGAAAGGAGAAGATCCTGAAATTTGGAGACCGAGACCCCACATAGCATTTTTTTTCCTTGGGTGAAATAAAGAGCTGGCAGGAGGAAAGTGGTGATATAAAATCTCCCTGGAAAGCTCTCCGACAACCTACCTGCATCGTGCCTGACCAATGGATAAAGAGAGAGATCCAGAGCTCTGCAGTGTTAATTGAACAGGGGTTCGGTTAAGCATAAAGGCAAATGGAGCATAAAGTTGTATACGGACACTAACAAGCAGCGGCAAAAGGCCAATGAAACCACAGCCCTTACCTATGAGTGGGAGTTCGTCCATGGTAATGCCCTGAGATTTGAGGTGCTTCTTGATACAGGCCAGCCGCTGCACGTTGGGTCCCCAGCGCCTGCCTAGCTTGTGTATGTGCTGAATCTGTGTCACAAACCGCATTTCATCATTTAGCTTGCACTCAGGTCTCCAGTCTGGAGGAGGAATCACCCTGCACATCCCATACTTCTCTACCTGAGCTCGGACTGACTCAATGTATATCAGTGGGTCATGAAATTCCTTGGTGGAGGGCCTAAGGATGGGAATCTCCCCCAGCATCCCCCACCCAGACTTACTACTGCCCTTTTCGTGCTTTCCCATTGAGTCTTGTGGCTTGTGCAAGGACTCCGCTTGAGAGGTAGAACGATTTTCACAGGAGGCATTTTCAGTTTTGCCATGTGCTTGTTTCCCTGGCGTACTCTTTCCAGCAGTGGCTCTTTTCGGCCTATTTCTTTCCAAACTCTTCTCTGGCACTTCCTTTTTAAGATGTCCATTCAGCAAAGGCTTTTCTACGGCTGCCTTTTTGCTGGCAGCTTCTGCCAAGTTGATGGCCCCTTTCATTCTCTTGGTGGGCGACTGTATTTTGTCTATGTGATTCGTCTCTTCCAGCCTCCTCTTCGAATTGCGCAGCCCCTCCCTCAACTGTCTCCCCACCTCCTTAGTGCATGTCTTTTGGTTCAACTTGCCATTGACTTTTACACCATTAACAGCGGTATTGTTAGACTTGGATGCTCCAAGGGATAGCACCTGTTTGCGGGTTTTTGCATTGCTACTTTCTATTTTCCCTGAGATTGTGTGGTTGACAGGTGAACTGGGTTTGTGGTGATTTAGTTTGGTTTCCTTGACCAGTTCTTTCTTGGCTTTGGTGTATGTGACAGTTCCCTTTGTCACTGTTGCAGTGTACTTCACAGTTTTGGACGGTGAAGGTCTGACTTCTCTCATCTTTTTGGCACTGGCTGCATTTGCACTCGGAGATGACATTCGAGTGATCCCGTTGACTTTAGAAACCTGCAATGCCAGGAGTGTTGCAGCGGAAGCAGAAGGAAGGAAACAGAAAACAGAAAAGTAAATCAATAATGTTACCACTCAGCCACAGCATCCCAGTCGCTGGACAACCATATTCTGCGGTCCTGACTCCTGGCCCCTTCGTACAATCTTCATATAACAGTTTTCACCCAGGCAAGAGGAGGGACTTGGCATTTATAATAAACAAATAAAATAGAATTTTTTTTTTTAAAAAAAGAAACAAAAAGTCCTCAGAAAGCCAATCTTGCTTTCAGAGGGTACAAAGCCTCTCGCATTGAAGAAGGGTGAGCTCCCTTGCTTGCACTAATCCCCTCTTTGTCTACCAGAAAGCCTGTTACAGTATCACAAAACACAGGTAGTCTGATTTACAAACTAATACTCTCATGATCTCCTTTTCTGGCCCTCAGACACTAATTCTCTCCCACCCAACTCCCCTTAAGTGCACGCAGTTTACTACTTCCTAGCAGACAAACTAGCCAGTGTATATATGATCTACTCTAACTGGAATGGGCACATTTTGCAAAAAACACACACTGAGATTCAAACCAACCTCCTGCCTATACATACATACACATAAAAAGAGATATTGAACACATTATGCACCCAACAGATCAGGACGGCCATGAAGGATCCAGTCTGTCATAGGTATTAAATCTGGGGAGGCATCTTGTTGCTGAAGTCATTAGTTGAAATAAAAATATATACAGTAGTTCAATGCTTTTTTTTTAAAGTTCGATATCTGGGCAGTTTTGCTGACACATGTTTTATTACATCATATTCATCACTAATGTGTCATTGCAACTTAGAATTGCTGGCCTCCACTGCTTTCTGTAAGACATTTAAATGCAGCTATGAAACTAAAATTTATATTTTAACTATAAGATATGTTAAGCACCGAAAGCAACCCTCAGCTTTGAAGGGAATTGTGATGGCTCAGCACTGCCAAAGTTAAGCCCCTAAGTTTCTTCTTAGAAAATGAAGTTCAAGTTTAAGCCTCAAACAAATTTCAGCATTTAAACAAGTTTAAACATTGTCTTCTCACCTCCTTAAACCACTGTGAGTGCAGAAAAACACATCAAAAAATCAGGAACATTGAAAAAGCGCCCCAAGTGAAAGCATACAGTACAACAACCCCTCATCAGCGCTCAGGTGAATAACACCATTCACGTAACTGTGAAGTTATACTACTTCCCTGTGGGTTTTCAAAATATTTGCCAAATTAATAAGCATGGCAACTTCTCTCAACTCAAACAAATACAAGAATTGTAGTCACTTATAAAGTAGGGATAAAATCCTTACAAAATAAGGATCAAACAGACTGAAAAGATCACGCTATGGTCTTGTATCAAGTGACTGGCAGATGAGCCACTGGAACTGGGGATCCTGCATACACATGCGTGTACATGCATTTACTGTGTGCAGTTTCTCCTCTGTGCTCCAGAAGCTGGAGCCCGAGTAACACCCTTTTAAAGCCCATCCATATTCTTGTCCTTCCTGTGCTTCCAAGGTAGAAACACTTACAGAAAATCCAGTTAACTGATGACACCTGTTTTTACCTTGAGCTTTCCAAATATGCGTGAGATATCATCTGGAAAGCAAACACTTGCTAACAGAAATGCATTTAGCCATTTCCCTTGAAATTTAGGCAGTACTCCGCATCTGAAATGGAGGCCTGGGTTTGACTTCTACAATGCTTTTTCATGCCACAGAGCAGACATGGGTAGAGAGCTGCTGAGATATTGCCTCCTGCCTGCAGCAGTTAGAACAAGAGCTGAACATCTCTAGCTTTATAAATAGCCAGGAACATCAATTACAGATTTCGTCTAGACTAATAGAGAAGAACTGATTGAGAAGTGGGAGGGGAAGGTAATCTGGGTGACAGTGATCATAAAATCAGTTTTCAATTCTAAGATGTGACAACAGTAAAGAAAGGAAAACAGACCTAAAAAAAGGACAAAACCAAAAAAAAACCCAGTAAAAAAAAAACCACCTGCAAAAAACCCAAACCAAAGCAATTCCCACTCAGAAGAAGGGCACAAAGCACAGGCCATTATGGCTGTTCACAAAGTTCTCTAATGACTGGAAAATTAGAAAAGAATCACAGTAAAAAGTGCAAACACAATTATGCAACTAAGGGCAACTATACAGGAGCAGCAAAAGCATGCATGGGTAAAATCGGAAAGCCCAAGGAGCTAAAGAAACTTCAGTTAGCAAGGGACATAAAATGAAACAGAAAAAAAAATAAAAACCTTAAAAATACAACAACAAAGAACAGTAAAATCAATCACCACACAAGGAAGAAAAAACAAAAGCAACAGTTTGGCTAAAGTGTTTGTGCTTCTTTTGCATTAGCCTTCACCAGAAGTACCACTGACTGAATACTTACCAGATATGTAACACAACCAATTTCAGCAAAAGAGCTAGGAAGGCAACCCCAGCAAGCTAAAGTGCACCTAGATGACTTAGGGCATGGCTCCTGGAAATTAGGTCAGGGCAGAGTCTACCTAACTTCAAACCTTAAAATCATTCTGGAACAAATTATCAAACAGTTAATTTGTAAACACACAAACGGTAATAAGATAATGTTAAAACCAAACCAAACCCAACCCACCATAGGTTTGCCAAAATAGCACATCAGGCTAATTTAATCATCTTCTGACAGACTCCTGGCTGAGCAGGTAAAGAAGAACCTCTGCTCATGTAGGGCTCCAGCCCCTGTCCCACATGATGTTACATCAAACAAGCTCCTGAGACACGTCCTAGACATAATTACTCTCAAGTGGCTTCACAAGGGATTAAATAAAGTCATCCTCAAGAGAAGTTAGCGTTGTCATAGTTCACCGCCATCCTGGGAGGGCATTTCAGGTGACTTTCTGCAGTGACTTGTCTTGGCCTCCCTTCTACCAAGTACTTCCATCAGTAACTTGGATTATTGTAAAATTTGCCAGTGACACACACCTGCAAGGGGCTGTAAGCACTCTGGAGACAAGGTCAAAATTAAAAGCAATCTTGAAGAACTTATTTCAGAACATGCGTACAAGAAGTAGTGCTATTTTTAGGAAGGACAAATCAAATACTTGTAGGGGAAGGATAACATTTGGGGACCACAGTGAGCTGAAACGCAATAGTAGTACAAAGCATGCAAATCACTTTCTGAGACTTTAAGAACACCAAAAACAAGGGACAGGAGCACAGGCTTTCCTACGCAGGGCTGGACCCAGCATCGGGCCCACACTGCAAGAAAAACGTAGACAGTGGAGCAAGTCTAGAAGAGCACACAGTGCTCAGGTATTTGGCAAATATCTTTACTGAAAAGCCAAGGGAGCTGATCTTATTTATTCTGAGAGAGATGACTATGGGACAACTCCGTAACAGTTTTCTGATGCACAAGGAGCTCCTTTGAAAAGAGATAGTAAGCGTTCTTTCCATGGGAAAAGCAGAAGAAAAAAAGCCCTTTAATTGTCTACAACAATGATCTGAGGCACAACTAGGAAAACCTTCTCATTAGAAGAAAAAGAAAACACTGGAAGAAGCTGCCAACGGATGTGGAATCTCCTCTACAGGAGGTTTTCCAGAAGGTTCCAAGGAGGCCATAGCTGTATTATATGCTGTCAGGTACAATCAAGACAACACCTCAGAGCGAGCAGTCAGGCTGTGTGGAGGTACCTTGTCACTCCATCCTTCCTATAGTTTATTTTTAAGAAGTTGTGACTAGAAGTCTGAAGGGCCGTGCAGGGCACTCCTTTAGCAAGGCGAACACACAGCCTGAGAACAAAACACAGTCATGGAGAAAGTGCTCATGGAGAAAGACAAGATCCTCACAGCTCCTCTTCTTCAAAAGAAAACACGCCATCAGCACCATCAGCTTTAGGCCAGAATTAAAACTGCCAAGATACAAAACTCCAGAAAACTGAATTCATTAAGAAAACAGCAACTTATCACAACTGCTTAGAGTTGTTAGAATACCTCCACACAATGAAAGCCTAGATCTCTCAGGGCCAAATCTTGAACTGAACAGGTACATAAGCTTCGGCTGTCTAACCTCCAATCCTAGATAATTGCACTATTTTGAGTTTTTATTCAAACTTCATGAAGTTATCCCAATGATGAACAGGTCCTGAAGTAGAGAACACTTGGCTTTAAGAATACTATAAGGAATTCACTTCTTTCTTTCTGGTTGCTAACTAAGGAGACCCCACAAGAAGGAAACACTGCTGAAAACTTCCTCAGGACCATCATCTGATGACACTACATGATGATTTTCAAATGCTTTTCCCTCTTCCCTCCCCAGATCCCCACAGGTATCTTGAGTGTTTTCAGAGAGGATAGCATAATGCTTAAGATAAGGCAGTACTATATAGACTAGTTTAAGATATGGCAGTACTATATAGACCAGAACAGACCACGCTTCAAAAGGGAATAGGCTGCAACAAGCATCTTCCAGCTGGAAACAAGTGGAACAAACAACATGGTCATAGCCCACCATCAAAGCTATGGTGGATTCAGGATTTCACATTGACAAATGTGAAATTCTGGCTGGTCAGTCATCACCTAAACGTTCCTGGTCTGTACTTGTCTCTGAGGACCCATCAGACGATTGGAACCAAAAGAACAAGAAATTGTGGTAGGCATTTTCTTACCTTTCTACTGTTGATATGTCTCCCCCCAAACCAAACATACACACACAGAGTCAGCCTAAAAAATTGGCCACACTGCCAGGTGCGCAGGTTCACCAAATGGGGGTCTATGCCACAGCTCCATCCCGAGGCAGTGCTTACACTGAGCGCATAAGAAAGAAGTCAATTTAATTCAAATAGTAACAAAGTGATTGACATTAGCCTTACATGACTCAAAGTCTTGAGCTAAAGGTGAAACTAGGGATAAGAATAATCTTATCTTTGCTTTTCAGCTATCTTCTCACTTTTGCTGACATATATTTGTCTTCAGGCCACTCTTTTCTCCTCTTTACTGAACACTTGCCTTGCAGTAAAAGACGGTACGATAGATTTTAAATTTTGTTGTCTTTTAAAAAGCAAATGGGACCAGCACATATCTTGCAGCAACTTGTTTGTTGGATTTGAACTGGTCTACATACACACCTCTGCATAGCACCTAGGATCCATCCTCCAGACACATACACACACACACACAAAATAAAACCAACAAACAACTTGTTAGATAACAACCACAGTAGTAACAGCAACATTAGCAATACCAACAACAGGTTTGGTCCCAAACAAATTCAAGTTATGCAACTGATCTCAAATTCATTCATAAAAATAATTCTGTGTTGATATGAGTTTTGCAGAGCTAAATTACCATATTAGGCCGAGAGAGGGCTCCATTGAACTACATTTCCTTTGCCCGCAAACTCCTTTGAAGTAAGGGATTTGGGAAGATAGCAAGGGAGGAAGAAAGAGAGAGAGGGAACACGTGACAAGTGCAAGTGCACACCAGAAAAGAAAGAATGAAAGGAAAAAAGAAAATCTGGGATAATTTCTAGTGTTCCGCCCTTGTTTTTTGTAAGACCGAACAAAACAAAAATACACACATAAATAAACCATGTAAATGCATGTGAACAAGGAGCAAAAACATACTGCAAGGAGGAGGCACATGTGGCTGGCATCCTGGGAAAACTACTCTCCTTTTGGAAAATACTGAAATTGTCAACAAAGACTCAGGACACAGGTAGGAAATTCAGCAATGTCACCTAACTGGTAAGTCTAAGGTTTTCCACAAAGCTAAGCCTTTCTGTTGGGCAAAATGCATAATCCACCTTTAATTAGTTACAGCCACATCTTCATTAAAATTCATAAGAAAGTACTTAAGTTACTGTGGGTTGCAGAAAAAAAATTTAGATGCCCAACTTTTTTTTAAAATTAAAAAAAAAAAAATCATCATCTTGATTTACAGCCCCCTTATTTTCTGAAGCTTGAGGACCACGCTCTGTGAGTTCTCTGTGTGGCGTGACTGTTGGTTTTACTGCATTGCTTTAGAATTTCTCTCCATTTTGTGTAGCATAATTGAAAACATCTAATACTCCATGAAGCAAAATCCACTTGGATCACGGACAAAATTCTTCGACACCTGTCTTTTCCCTCCTCAGAACTACCTTCACAAGTGATGGCTGTTGACTTTCACAAAAATTTTAACCCTTCACACTTTGATGATACAACTTTAAAGCATTTCACACAAGTGTTCAAGTGAGTTAAATTAAGAACGAAGTCCATCCTTACATTTTGGGAAACTTGTTCAACATGAAAAGCTCATGGCAGAGCATGTCGCAGCAAGGACCATAGGATGTTGGTAGTCACAAAAAAAGAAAGCCAAAAGGACACAAAAGAAGGCAGGCATTCAAGCTGATGACTAGATAAGCAAAAAATTACATGGGGGAACAAAGAATGGAAGTCTTACAGAGGTACAAAGAAATATACTGTAGATAGGTTTCAGGATCTCAAATTTGATTTAGAAGGTAATACAAATCCGGTGGAGGCATTTCAGGAGAAGCTAAACATCACTGAAGCAAAGGGCACGGAAGTTTTCCTCAGCAAGAGCACCACTGTTTTACTTTTTGCCATTTTTAATTTCCAAGCCTATGACTGAGAGGTGCCATTTAAGGCCTTGACAGCCCTACAAGATGGCAATTCCAGCTCCACTGAAGTCCAGGCCAGATTACTTAGAAGAAATACCTTTACATGCCAGCAAATAAAGACTGTCTCTAATTGGCCTGTTGAGAATTAACCACTGAAAAAAAAAAAAAAAAAAAAAAAAAAAAGCACAGTTGCAGCACGCTTTCTGTACTGCATTGCCCTAGTGCAGGTACCCTGCTAACCCAGCCCCAGACTGAATAAGGACACTGACCAGGGATTTTTTTTTTAAAGTCTTTTACGAAAACTTATTTGACGGTTGCTATTTTAGGAGCCCTTTGATCCCACCATCAAAAATAGAGACATGAATCCTACGCAAACACCAGTCACAAGCACTGAACGATTGGTTTGCTAAACTTCTGCACCCAAATCCAAGTCAGGCAAAGACAAACCTCTTGCTGGATTTTTTTTGCTAGTTGTCAACAAGGTAACATGAAAGTCTGAATTTCTTCCCACCTGGTACGTCCACTGTGAAGGAGGCAATATCCTGGAGAACCTTCTTTATGCATCGGGCAAAACATTTTTCCCACACTCCGAAGTTTGTGTTGCCCATATGCAATACAAGACACTGAGCATAACATCAGCTTCCCTACAATGCCAGTGAGCCTCTAAGGTAACCCGAACAGATCAGCCATACACAAAAGGAGTTCATTCTTCCACGTGCTGACAGTGCCAAGGCCAGTCAGAAAGGTTTAATAAATGGCAATGTGAACTTTACTCTTTCATATGTATACACTGGATAATATAAAGACAGGGTTGTAAAGCATGCTTTATTATACTGACTTCCTATGTATGTGTCACTTTTCTTTTTTCCTTCTTTCTTTCTCTCTCTCTCACTAAAAATTAACTCCCTGCTGTCTCCAGAGCACGCTTTTAAGGACTGCCATGTTCCCTCCGTGCCAGGCAGTGGAAAACAGAGCTAGCACCTTAAAAGTCTGCATTTCCCATGTGTCCACAGTAGAGTACAATTCATTACCTGTTTCCTTAAGTCCTGAGCCGATCTATGAAGAGTGTGGTGGTTGTTAGCAGTGAGCCCTTTCGTAGAGGAGCCAGTGTTTGTAGTAGGATGGTGATTAGCAGCAGCCTGGTCTTTTCGGCTCTCAGCCTTATGTTCGCTGTTCTTCTCCTTCCCTGGTGTGGCCTCTTTGCTTTTGTGTTTCTGAGCAGGTTCTTTCTCCTTCGATGATTTGCTGGACCCATTGAAAACTGAGAAGAGAGAAAATCAGACTATTAAGAAAAAAAAAGAAAAAAAAAATACATGCAAGACGAAATTCTTCATTCAAAACAACCCAACTTTCTCTGTTGTCACTGTAGGATATTTAGTGAACATCTTATATCTAAAGTAAAATTAATACAGAAATAGAAGCACTATCTTGCATATTTCTTTATATGAACAGATTTACAAAAGTATTTCCTTTGCTTGTTAACACACATTATCTTCAATACCCAAATTAAAACATACATGGTATATTACTGTTTTGATTGACCTAAATTTAGACTTATCAGTTTGATTTTTATTAATGACAGTTTTAATTAACTTTTTGCTGTTGCAGCAAGGGAATTCTAAACATAACCTAAACAGAAAAAGGATTTATTTTTACATTAACATAAAAGAAAGGAAACATTCCATCAAAAAGCATGTTTTGTTTTCATCA